AGGCCAGTGCAGCTTAGCAGGTCGGCAGCGCAGATACATTTGTGGGGGCAGTTGTGGGGCGTACGGGGCGGGAAACCCTCGGAGTCCGGGGCGCCTAACCCAACGCACAGCATGCAGAGCAGTGCCCCCAGCAGCATCAGCCAGGTCATGGCGACCACCAGGGACAGGACAGAGCAGCTCTGTGCAGGTCGCAGTTCCAGGACTCACCCACTTCTGCTCTAGTGCGACATGGGTGGCACCGGATGGCCCTTGCCGAGGAGGCACGGCGGGTTCTGGCCGGCCGACGGCCCCTACTCTGCGGTTCCCAGGTTGTGAGGCGGGGCTGCACTTCTCTCCGTGCTCCCTTCGGCTTCCCGAGCCCTCTCCAAGCGAGTTCCTGATCGGCTCCTAAATACTCCCCCCAGGGGCGGGGCTCGGGCTCCTATTGGCTCCCGTTTGAGGAGGCGGGGCGGCTGCATCCCCTAGTGCCCAATGGCCCCACATGACCGCCAGATGAGGAGTGAGCCCAACCCCAAAGCCCCAGTCTGCCTTTGGCTGGCAGCTTTCCGCCGCTCCTTTTTCCTAGAGGAGTAAAAGGGGGAGTCTGGAAGAATGTCTCCAAGCTGCTGTTAGTGTTTATTTGAAATGACTTATTTGAGTGATATATTATGGGGCAGATGGACTCTATCTTAAGGTGGCTCCCCTGAGCCCTCTTAAAGTGGTACCCCAGGCCGGGTGCGGTGGCTCACGCCTGTAATCCCAGCACTTTTGGAAGCTGAGGCGGGTGAATCACCTGAGGTCAGGAATTCGAGACCACCCTGGCCAACCTGGTGAAACCTCGTCTGTACTAAAAATACAACAATTAGCCAGGCGTAGTGGTGGGCGCCTGTAATACCAGCTACTCCGGGGGCTGAGGCAGGAGAATCACTTGAACCCGGGAGGTAGAAGTTGCAGTGAGTCTAGATCGCGCCATCGCACTCCAGCCTGGGCAACAGGGCCAGACTCCCCTCTCAGACCCCAGGCTGTGTGGCACCTTACTAGAATACAGGACTTGGGGCTTGGGAAGCAGGAAGACGGAAAGGATGCAGGGGGCGGTGATTATGTATAAGCCGTGGCACTCCTCATTGGCAATCCCAATAGAGACTAGTTTTAGCCAGGCCCCAATCCTTCTGACTGCCCTTGCACCATCCCCTACCTAGGAGAGAGCGAGCCACATCAGTACTCCTGGCAGATCCCTGCTTCCAGCTACGCTCAATATGCTATCTCCTGGGACAGCCAGAGCCCCCAGCACCTGGCACTGCCCTGCCAGCCCCTGACCGGAAGCGCTTCTCCCTGCAGAGCTGTGAGTGGGCTGGTGGGTGGGTCAGGGAGATCTGGGGCTGGATCGGGTCAGGAACCTTAAGAACAGCAAAGTCCTAGGCTGGGAATATTTAAAAGGCATGACATCCTCATCTACCTCTGACTTGACACTACCTACCACTCCCCAGATGCGGATTATATCAGTGCCGATGAGCTGGCCCAAGTGGAACAGATGCTGGCACACCTGACCTCTGCATCTGCCCAGGCAGCAGCTGCCTCTCTGGTGAGTGGGACCATGGTGCACAGGTCCATGCCACTTGAATATGTGTGCACTCCTACATAGGCACAGCGGACATCCACACAGCCAGGCATCCAACTCCAGCCCACCCTTCACTTTCCTCCCTGCAGCCCACCAGTGAGGAGGATCTCTGCCCCATCTGCTATGCCCACCCCATCTCTGCTGTGTTCCAGCCCTGTGGCCACAAGTCGTGCAAGTAAGTGGTCCCCACAGCTTGGTAGTGGGGAGAGCAGTAGATACATGCAGGGCAGTCCTCATCCCCTCCCCTGTTGTAGAGCCTGCATCAACCAGCACCTGATGAACAACAAGGACTGCTTCTTCTGCAAAGCCACCATCGTGTCTGTAGAGGACTGGGAGAAGGGAGCCAATACGAGTACTACCTCCTCAGCTGCCTAGCCCTCTAAGCCTGTGCCATCCTGGAACCTCCACCCTTGAACCCAGAGCCAGGCTGGGCCCTATTTATGAGCTCCCTTTGCCCTTCTCCTGTATCTGCCCCCCTCCAACCGCCACCACCACCACATCCAACCTCCTTGCCTGCCTGTATCCTCATTGGTGGGAGCCCAGCCGTGGCCCTAATTGTGCCTGAGCTTGACTCTCAGTCAGGGCCACAGTCAGCATTAAATTATTATTCCATACAGCCCTGGCCCTGGCCCTTCTTGAGGGAGTAGGGTTTGTGGGGTGTGCCCAGCAGGGATCCTGCCAGATGATGTCCACATGAGAAGGCAGGTGTCCAACAGCTTCAGCTTCACCCAGTGCCCCCTAGACAGATAACAAGTCCAGGGTCTTCTGATATGTCAGGCCAGCACTCTCCCCTTGCTGATGGGAAAACCAGGGCTTGGCCAGCCCCACTGCATCCCCTTACATGATGATACGAGGCTCTGGCACTGACTCGCCAATAGACTTGTGGGGCAGCACGCTGGCTCCGTTGAGGTAGAGCTCATCGTTAACTATGACGTCCTCACCCAGCACTGTCACGTTCTCCATGCGAACCTCCAGGAGAGGATAGGCCTTGTCAGGGAGACAGGCACACTCCCCGCCCCTCTCCCCGCCTGGCCCAGCCCACAGGCTTACCCACTGGCCCACACGGCAGCGCCAGCCCACAATGCAGGACTCAAGCCATGAATGGGAGCGGATCCGGGCATCCCGCAGCACCGTGCACCGCCGGATACACACACCATCTTCGACCACCACGCCAGGTCCCAGGCTCACATTGGGGCCAATGCTGCAGTTCTGGCCGATGCGGGCACTTGGGTCCTGAGAGTGGTGGGAAAAATACAAGTGGGCCACTTGTCTCCCAAGACTGAGGGGGTTAATGATGGGCTGGGCAAGGGCCTCACCACCAGCACGTTGCCCACAATGCCAGGGCCTGAGTACAACCGCTCAGGCTGCTTCTGCCTCAGTGACTGCAGGAAGAGGCACATGCCAGTGAGGAAGTCCTTGGGCTGCCCAATGTCCATCCAGAAGCCTGTAGGGAGGGATGTATCAGGGCCCTCAGCCCAGCCACAGACCACCCCCACCCTGTGGCCTCCCTGCCTCACCCTGCAACTCCATGGCATATAGCTGCCCCTCCTTGGCCATAATGGGGAAGACCTCCTTCTCAATGGACGTAGGCTGCAGCTGTGGGAGTGGGCAGCTTGTGAGCAGGGTCATGGCGGTGATGGCCTGCCCCACCACAGCCCACCGACAGCTGTCTCCTACTACACACCTGGATGCGCTGCAGCACCGCAGGGCTCAGGATGTACATGCCTGCGTTGATCTTATTGGACACAAACACCTGCGGCTTCTCCACAAACCGGTGAATTCGGCCTGTGTCAGCCTCACACACCACCACACCGTACTTGGAGGGTTCCTCCACCTTGGTTACCTGAATGCAAGGAAGGGGACCTCGGACCTAGTCCAGTGTTCCTGAGCCTTGATATACATGCCGTTCCAGATCTCAGAGACTCTGCCCCAAGTGCTTAAAGATACATACTGCACAGCTCTGTACCCATAACATCCGAAGGCAGATGAAGGCTAGGGGGCAGGGGAGGCTGGGCATGGAGGGTGGAAGTGTCAAGAGAAACAAGACCTGGCGCCTTACCAGGATGGAGCCCTCCTGGCCATGGTGCCGGTGGAACTGCACCATGGCTTGGAAGGGGAAATCGCAGATCACGTCACTGTTGAGGACGAAGAAAGGGTCTGCAGTCTCAGAGAGCAGGTCACGGGCCAGCGCCAGGGGCCCAGCTGGGGGAAAGGGACAGGTCACAACCTTGCTGGAGGTCTGAGTCCCTGAATTCAGGCTCAGCAGGCCCAGTGCAGGCTGGGTCTTACCCTTTTCCTGGCCTTAAACCCTCCCCAAGGGACCTTTCTCTACTGACCTGTCCCCAAAGGCTCCTCTTCATGGGACATGGAGATTCGGATTCCCAGCTGGAAGGAAGAGGACCCCCAGTCAGGTTCTACCAGGATGGGAAGTTGGGTGGGGACCGAGGATAAGGGCCAAGAGTCCGTGCCTCACCCTCTGCTCCTGTGCCTTCATTTCCTTCTCCAGCACCTGCGACATGTAGCTCACGGCCAGGATCACGTGGTCCACGCCTGCCTGTCAGAACGCAGGCCAACGGGCGGGCTCAGTCAGAAGGTACGGGAGCCCCTGACCCCCTAGTCACTGGCCATCCCTAGTCCTGCCAGATCCGAAAGCGACTCCGATCCCGACCCAGGGTCTTACCGCAGCTAGCGCCTCCACTTGGTGCAGCAAGATGGGCTTATTGCAGAAGTCCACCAGTGGCTTCGGGGTGCTCAGTGTCAGCGGCCGTAGCCGCGTCCCATAGCCCCCCACTAAGATCAGTGCCTTCATCGCGCCTGCGGACGTTGAGGGGGTGTCCCGGGCTCTGAGGTGCCTGCAGCCCGTCTAGTCGGTCCCTGCAGCGCACTCCCAACGCTGTGCCCGGCCCCGCGCCCTTCACCAACCCGTCTGACCGACTCTGGCTCCACCTCGTCCTCCCGGTCGCCCTGACGCCGGATCCAGGGCCGCCACAACCCAGAACGCGACGCCGGGTGGACGGCTGCTGGCCACGAACTCAGGGCGGACCCGGCGCGGGCAGTGACGCGAGCACCGCGGGCCAATCGGCTGCCGCGTACGTGGCACGGCCGCCGGCGACGGAGCGTTGGGTCGCAGCGCTGCGACACACGTAGCCAATGAGCGCCCGAGTACGCCGGGCTGCCATGGAGACCCGGGCCGGGACCCGCGGGTCAGCTGGCCATTGGCGGATCCAAAGGCGGAACTGGCGCCAAGGGTGAGGCCTAGTTCCGTGCTTCGCGCGGTCCAGCAGCCGCGGGCCCCGCCCCACCCCGCGGCCCGCCCCCACGGCCCGCCTCGCGGCCCAGCCCCGAGGGAGGGTGATCAGGGAAGGCTCCTGGACCACGGGATTTTCACACAGACAGACTCGCCTCCGTTTCTAGCGGCTTTATTTTTGACATACACGACCTCAGACACAAGCGGGGCGGGCAGCGCTAGGTGTACAGAAAGGAGCGGGCTCGGACCGAGCACCCCTCACGCAAGGTCCAAAGCAAACACTACTGCGGCGGGAGCCACGGGTTAGTGTCCGGGCGCAGACCTCGGGCGGTGGGGACAGGCTTAGCTTCCAAGAAGAGGAGCAGAGAGCGATTCCCAGAACGCGGGGGCTTACAGTTCCCCGAGAAGCAAAAGAACCAGGTCCTTCCCAGGGTTGTCCATTTTTTTTCTCATTAAAATATTTTTTAAGTCAGCACAAACATAACCAAATTGTACAGCTTTAAAGTTCAAAGCAATCTGCATCTAGGGAACGTGCATGTGGTCAGGAGTGAGCGCGTGTACAGCAGCTACGGAACTAGCACAGGCGCCAGGCCCCATGATGGGAATCCCCACGCCCATTGCACAGGCCCAGAGAGGGAAGGGTGGGGGTCCCTAGCAATTTGCTACACTGGTCCCCTTCCTCTTTTAAGCACCACCCGTCCCACCCCACCCTACCCTCAGGGGCTGGTGTCAGCTTGGCCCAGGGAAGCACTATAGAGAGGGGTCACCCGAGCACCCCAACCCATGATCCCATGTTGCACTTTGGTCCCAAGTTGGGGCTAAGGCAGGGCCTGGCAGGGAGAGGGCTCTGGCATGGGACAGGGAGAAAGCAGTGGCAGACAGTATGCACACACACTTGCCCACTACCATTAAATAACAGGGCTGGGTCTCCAGGTGTCCAAAGTGCTGAAAAGAGGGGCCCTGCTCTAGGGGAGCAGCAGCAAATTCCAGGCCTTCCCACTCTTTGTAGTGCCAGGAAAATACTGAATGTAAGTGGATGAAGCCTTTGCTCGCTGTGAGGAGCAGCAGAATGTGGCAGCCTCTCCTCCCAGAATCTAGGAACTTGGGAGGCACAGGACATCCCCAAAAGGTCCCAAACAGCTCCAGACCCTATGTCTTACCCTCCACCCTACCAGGGAATGACTAAGTCTACACTAATGAAGGGCTACTGCCCCCATGGCTGAAGCCACAGAATGGTACAGGAGAGAAAACCGTAATTTCTGACCAGAAACAGCCAAGCTGTCCCTCCCAGCCCCAAAGAATGGGAACCTGCCCACCAGTGGCACCAGAGCCGGGGGCTAGGAGAGATGGCATCCATCAAGGAGCCCTTAAGAAGCTGCATCTCTAAGGACCAGGAAATGAGTCCATCAGTTACCAAGGCCTCTCACAGCTGGCAGGCTTACCTTTAATGCCAAACAGGCACTTGCCTAAAGTGACAATGAACAGTGACCCTAGGCTCAAAGGAGAGGGTGCTAACCCCGGCAATGGCTGAAATCGGTGTCATGTCCTGGCCATCTGTTTTAGAAGCAGCAGGTCTGTGCCATTAAGGGCTGGCAGGCAAAATGACTAAAACCATGAGAAAGGAAGGGTCACTCCTCAAGCCCTCACTGTCCCACTGTCAGTGTTGAGGGCCATATTCTAGGCCCACAGAAAGGGTGCTGGGTCAACAGGGAAACACCACCAGTTTATTCTGCTATCAGGTCTTTATAAAAAGGCAACACCTGTGGAGGAAGGGCATGAGGCAAAAGCTCACCTCAGAAGTGGGAGTGTTCTGCTGAGGAAAGCATGAAGGAATGAGTATATACTAATGAACAAGGCTACAACCCAGAGGAAGGATCCCGAGGGACAGGGGCTGGCAGCTGGACACATGGACAAACTGATGGACCTAGGACTGATCAGACAAAGCTCTCATTAGCAGAATGTGGGCACCTGCACCCAGAGCCCATACCATGTCCCTGTGAGCAAAAAAGCTTAAAGTTCTCCCTCTAGGCCCAGGGCCAAGAGCGCCTCACAAAGAGCTGCCACCTTGAACTTGGCCTGGGGAAATGAGACCCTGAGCGGACCACAGCCCTTGAGCCCTGGGAGGAGCAGCCCATCCAGCAGCAGCACAGCTGCCGAAACTTAAAGAAGACGACTCCCACCCATAGCACAAGAACTGCAAATACTGTCTAGGCCAGAGCCACCAGAGGCCCTGAGGCCTGCTAGGACACCGACTATCCCCCACTTCAGTGGGGTAGGAGGGAGTGGTCTTCTTAGGCAAGGGAACTTGGTGAGAGAGGCTGGCTGTTTCAGGAATAGGACAGGTGCCAACCTGTCACATGCCAACAGGTACCTGGGGAACCCAGGGCCTGCCCTCTGCCATAAGTTGGCCTCAGCCCAGCTTCATTAATCTAGCCCCACACTAAGATCAGACCCAAGGATGGGTCCAGCTTTGTGCAGTAAGCCCTGTGGTGCCCTGAGGGCACCTATTAAAGAGCTAGCTGACACCCACAGCATAAGACCAGAAAGCCCCCAAGAAATGGGCACCCAAAGCCCTCTACTTCTGGGGAACAAGGGAAGAGTGGGCATGGAGGGGCCCTGCACCAGCCCAGGGCTTTACCTTACAATCAGCAGAGCCCTGCAGCCACAGACCTCAAAGATCTAGACAAGAGAAACCAATGTCCAAGGGCACCCTGTCCCTGCTGCCAAGCCCACCAGGGGCACCTCTTCCTTCCTAAGGCAGCCTGGACACACCAATCAGAGCCACAAAGCTGAGGAGCCTGGCTGAGAGGGCGTGTGGTCTACCCTCCTTCACTTTATATATATGGATTCCAGGCTACCGCTAAAAACATTTCTTTTAGTTTACACCAAAGAGAAATATAACCCTTTAAAATCAAGTCTGTGTGTCCTCACGGCAAGTTCAGAACAATGGTCCCTGCCTGCGGGTGGAGAGGAAGGGGTTCTGGGGGCCCAGAACAGGGCCTACTGGTTCTCGTCCCGCATCTGTTCCATGATGCTGATGAGGTTCTCCAGGCCAAACACGTAGCCTCTGTCCGGCCCATCATGCACGGTGGGGTCATCCCGGAAGCCCTTGAACGTGCTGTGTGCAAAGTCAATCATGCGGACATCCACCTTGGGCTGAGAGGAGGGACCCGCCTCAGGGCTGGTGTTGCTGGGGCTGGTGCTGGGGCCACAGGATGACGCCACCTCAGGGAGCACCATGTCCAGGTGCTTGAGACGCATCTCAGACCGGCGGTCCAGGCAGGACTCAGCCCGGCACTCCTTGCCATCATAGATGACAAGCAGGGAACTGGAGTAGAAGCGGTAGGAGGCCTGCCGCTCCAGCACAGCTTTCAGGCCTCGTAGTTTGCTCAGGATAGGCTCAAACAGGTCACGTCGCAGGTCCAGGCCATTGTGCAGATATTGATACAGGGCATTGCGGAAGCCTTCAATGGAGAGCCCACGGCCATAGTACTTGTTCCTACAGAGGTAATGCCCTGTGTCCAGCTGGTACACCTGAAACCCCAGGAGACAGACAGGGTGAATGCCAGGGAAGTCTGAAGAGCTCACAGTGCCCTGGGCAAGCACTGTCTGAAAGCACTTTGACCAACTTGAGTTTTTCTGCTCACCTACCTAAGTGGAACTGGGCAGGCCACATTCACCCTGGGTTTTCCCATTGCAGAACCAAGAGAAAGCAATACCAGGTCTATGGGTTCCCTGCCACCAGCTTTGGAGCCCTCCTCCAACATCAGAACATCTTGTTGACAGGCAAGAGTCTTACGTATCCCAATGTCAAGGCAGCAGGCTCTCACAGTGGTCCTGCACCTGAGGCCCATAGCAAGGTCAACAGGTAAGGACAGAAGGGCTCAGGAGGACACACTTGGCATAGATCGCACGCAGGTATGAGCACAACCCAAATCATGCAAGTGGCAGCACCTAGGCTCTGAGCAGAGGTAACTCACCTGCATGCCGCAGACCCTGACGCCCAGCGTGGCTGATGTGCTCTGCTCACATTTCCGCATCTGCCGGGCTGCCTTCTCAGCTGATGCGTCATCGCCATGCTGCCGCGTGCCCATCTTCAGGTCCAACACACAGGGGTACTTGAAGTGGTGCACCACATTCTCAAGCAGGAGGAACTCTGGGCCACGGTCAAGAAGAATGACAACCACACTCACCATCAGCCCCAGCCAGGAAAGCACAACCCAGTTTTTCTATAAAAGGGCGCTTTTACCTAATGCAGTATGTACTTGTCCCAGAAACTCTCAAATGTGGGTTTCACACCACTGGCTTATTACTTCTTAACCAAAACAAACTGTGGTAAAATATACATAAAATTTACTTCAGCCATTTTTAAGTGTACAATTCAGTGGCATGAAGTATATTTACTCTGTTGTACAACCATCACAACCATCTATCTCTAGAGCTTTTTTTTTCTTTTTCTTTTTTTTTTGAGATGGAGTCTCACTCTGTTGCCCAGGCTGGAATGCAGTGGAGTGATCTCAGCTCACTGCAACCTCTGCATCCCAGGTTCAAGCTATTCTCCTGCCTCAGCCGCTTGAGTAGCTGAGATTACAAGTGCCCGCCACTACACCCGCTTAATTTTGTATTTTTAGTAGAGACGGTGTTTCACCATGTTGGCCAGGCTGGTCTCAAACTCCTGAACTTGTGATTCGCCTGTCTCAGTCTCCCAAAGTGCTGGGATTACAGGCGTAAGCCACCGATGGAGTCCTCGTTCTGTTGCCCAGGCTGGAGTGCGATGGCGCCATCTCGGTGCACTGCAACCTCTGCCTAGGGGATTCAAGCCATTCTCCTGCTGTATCCATTAAATAGAACTAAACAAGTGGACTCCTCATTTCCTCCTCCAGCCCCTGGGAACCTCTAGTCTACTTCTGTCTCTAAAATTATCTTTCCTAGTATTCTCATAAGTGGAATCATAACAGTATTTGTCATTTATATCTGGCTTTTTCACTTAGCAAATGTATTCAAGATTTATTGGTTAATTTAAAAGTATGTATCAAAATTTCTTCCTTTCTGGCTAATTTCCATTGTTATGTATATTACCACATCCTTTTGTTGTTGTTGTTTTTGGTTGTTTCTGGTTTTTTAACCTAGACTCTAGTACTTTATGTTATTTTTGCTATTTTTATTATTTTTGAGACGGAGTTTCGTCTTGTTTGCCCAGGCTAGTCAATGGCA